TTTTTCTGCTGGGAGAAAAAATATATTCAAATTTTGGGAAAGATCCAAATTCCGGATGACAAAGCTGACTTCACCATAATTTAGTCTTCTTAATAAATCTGATATATTTTTGTAAACATTAAAAATTATATTTTATCTCTAGGATAATAGAGTCAAGGTATTCAGCTATTGACTCGAATGTTGAAACATTCCATTTGAGCAAGTCACTTAAAATTATAGAGGTGGTCTTTGCTGATTTGAACAGTGCTGTGAAAGAATAGTTGTATTTCATACTTTATTCACTCAGGTGTAAGCACCTTTCCTCTTGAGAGTCGGCAAATTTACTAGTAGAAAGAGTCTTGTACTTGCTGCCTCTTTCTTTGAACAGCAGGCTGAAGAGACATATCCTCAGGGTTTACAATTTAGTCACAGCCACCGAATCAAGATCTGGGTGTATATTGTTGATTACCACCTGTTGTCCTGGAATAAGCTGGTGGATGGGCTGGCATCCAGGAGCAGTGTCTTCTCTCCTTATGGTAAATCCCCCCTCTGTGGCCCATGTATCTGGTGCATTTTCAGTTCTGACCCCAATGCACCATTTCCAGTCCACCTCATGACTCGCAAAAACAGGTGTTAGCTATGAGAAATCTCTCTTCTGCATGTTTTAGGAGAACACAATAAGAAATTATTGGGTACTTTTCCTCATTTAAAGTACCTTTGCCGGGGCTCCTAGGCGGCTCAGTCAGTTGAGCGTCTGGCTTTGGCTCAGGTCATGATCTCGAGGTTTGTGAGTTTGAGCCCCGGGTCAGGCTCTATGCTGAAAGCTTGGAGCCTGGAGCCTGCTTCATATTCTGTGTCCCCCTCTCTCTCTGCCCCACCCCTGCTTGTGCTCTGTCTCTCTCTGTCTTTCAAAAATGAATAAACATAAAAAAAAATTTAAGTACCTTTGCCAAAAGCTGTTCTATACTCTGCTCAAAATAATGTTTCCATCTCACTGTAAAGTGCAGCATCTCTAAGCATGCCCATGGGATGCTGACTGCTCAATCACATCATATGCCACTGACAATATGTAATATCTAAAAGGTGCTATTTAATAAGTTTGCCAAGAACTCATTCTGTTTCTTCTCCAAATAAAATATCGGTAATGACTTTGTCTCTGGTTTTACATTCTTGGAATAGAGGGACATACCATTTTTTGTTATATGTAATGAAAATTACTCATTTTTGATGCCTAAGTAATTTAAATACATGAGTAATATTATCTCATGTCTAACTTTCATGACAAGATTAATCAGTTTGCTATTCCAAAACATTATTTTGAGCTCATTCCAAGAAAATGTGATTGGTTTACCAAAGAGGTTGCTGTTCTGTTTCAGAATGATGTGAAAATCTTATGGCTTCATGCTACTAAATGACAGTTTCATAGACAACAAAACTGGGGACAGGGAGCAAATGGGTCACTTTTCCAGTCATAACTGATTTTCAGGTGTCCACTCTTTATTTCCTATGTAGACTTTCCTTTTCCAGATGCTTGTATAAAATTAGCACACTTTCAGATCATACCTCAAGATCATAAAAGCCATATGCAAAAAGACCCACCACTAATATCATCCTCAATGGGGAAACACTGAGAGCTTTCTTCCTGAGGTTAGGAACATGACAAGGATGTCCACTCTCGCAATCCTAGCGTCAGCAATCAGACAACACAAAGAAATAAAAGGCATACAAATTGGCAAGGAGGAAGTCAAACTTTCACTCTTCGCAGATGACATGATACTGTACATGGAAAATGCAAAAGATTCTACCAAAAAACTGCTAGAACTGATTCATGAATTCAACAAAGTTGCAGGATATAAAATCAACGCACAGAAATCGGTTGCATTTCTTTACGCCAATAATAAAGCAACAGAAAGAGAAATCAAGGAATTGATCCCGTTTACAACTGCACCAAAAACCATAAAGTACCTAGGAATAAACCTAAGCAAAGAGGTGAAAAATCTATACACTAAAAACTATATAAAGCTTATGAAAGAAATTGAAAAAGACACCAAAAAATGGAAAAACATTCCATGTTCATGGATTGGAAGAAAAAATATTGTTGAAATTTCGATACTACCCAAAGAATCAACATATTCAATGCAATCCCTATCAAAATAACATCAGCATTCTTCACAGAGCTAGAACAAATAATCCTAAAATTTGTATGGAACCAGATAGCCAAAGCAATCTTGAAAAAGAAAACCAAAGCTGGAGGCATCACAATCCAAGACTTCAAGATGTATTACAAAGCTGTAATCATCAATTTGTGCCCCTATGGTACGGGCACAAAAACAGACACTTAGATCAATGGAACAGAATAGAGAACGCAGAAATGGACCCTCAAATGTATGGCCAACTAATCTTTGACAAGGCAGGAAAGAATATCCAGTGGAATAAAGACAGTCTCTTCGGCAAATGGTATAGGGAAAATTGGATAGCAACATGCAGAAGAATGGACCTGGGCCACTTTCTTACACCATACACAAAAATAAATTCAAGATGGATGAAAGACATAAACATAAGACAGAAGCCATCAAAATCCTAGAGGAGAAAGCAGGTAAAACTTCTTTTACCTCGGCCACAGCAACTTCTTACTCAACAGGTCTCCAGAGACAAGGGAAACAAAAGCAAAAATGAACTATTGGGACCTCATTAAAATAAAATCTTCTGCATGGTGAAGGAAACAATCAGCAAAACTAAAAGGCAACTGACAGAATAGGACAAGATACTTGCAAATGACATATCAGATAAAGGGTTAGATCCCAAATCTATAAAGAACTTATCAAACTCAACACCCAAAAAACAAATAATCCAGTGAATAAATGGGCAAATAGACACTTCTCCAAAGAAGACATCCAGATGGCTAACAGACGCATGAAAAAATGCTCAATATCACTCATTATCAGGGAAATACAAATTAAAACCACATTGAGATACCAACTCACACCTATCAGAATGGCTAACATTAACAACTCAGGCAACAACAGATGTTGGTGAGGATGTGGAGAAAGAGGAACCCTTTTGTCTGCTGGTGGGAATGCAGACTGGTACAGCCACTCTGAAAACAGTATGGAATTTCCTTAAAAAATTAAAAATGGAACTACCCTAGAACCCAGCAATTGCACTACTAGTTATTGGTCCAAAGGATACAGGTGTGCTGTTGCAAAGGGGCACAGCACCCCAATGTTTATAGCAGCACTATAGACAATAGCCAAAGTATGGAAAGAGCCCAAATGTCCATCGATGGAAGAATGGATAAAGAAGGTGTGGTACATATATATACACTGGAATATTTATTTCTCTGCAATCAAAAATAATGAAATCTTGCCATTTGTAACAACATGGATAGAACTAGAATGTATTATGCTAAGTGAAATAAGTCAGTCAGAGAAAGACAAATATCATATGACTTCACTCGTGTGGAATTTAAGATACAAAACAGATGAACATAACGGAAGGGAAGCAAAAATAATGTAAAAACAGGGAGGGGGACAAATTATGAGTCTCTTAAATAGATAACAAACTGAGGGCTGCTGGAGGGGTTGTGGGTGGGAGGGATGGTCAAAATAGGCAAAGAGCATTAAGGAAGACACTTGTTGGGATGAGCACTGGGTGTTATACGTAGGGGATAAATCACTGGATTCTACCCCTGAAATCATTATTGCACTATATGCTAATTCAGATGTAAATTAAAAACAATAATAAATAATAATTTTTTTTTTAAATTAGGCCACCTTCAGATTCATTAAAGTTGCATTTGCATTACCTTTTAAATGACTACCTTAATGCTTTAATGTTGTATTTTGAGCCATTTTCAAAGGATGTAATGCAACATTTAAAAATAATTAAAACTGTTAACTTTATTAAAATAAGCAACATTCAAACAATGAAAAACATTCTTTCAACAAAGTGTACACTGTGGATTGAGATGAACAACCAACTTTGCCATTTTAGAGTATGTTGTGCGGAGGCTGGGAATGTAATTTGAAGGATGTTAACAGGATTTCTGGGAAAAATAATTGCCAACATATGAAAAGTGTATTGTTTTCTCTGTTTCTCTTTGAAACTGCCAACTTGATAGAGCTAAATAACTAAAGGCCACCAGTGGTCCCAGGGTCATATTTTTCGCTGCTTTAGGTCCACTCTGCTTCTTATTCCTCCATGAGGAGAAGAGGTGAGAAAAGCCAACCAAGGGAAGGAATTTCTAAGTTCCAGAGCAGGGCTGGCTGGAGGAATACCAGCCACTGGGCCAGGCACCAGTTAAGTCTGCTCCTTCCAGATCAGGAGGAACATTTGATATAGACATTGCTTAGAGCTGCTAGGGCATGTGGTGATAATAAACAGATTTTAAGTTGTTATTATTGCTTTTAGATTCTCTACAGAATACTTTCACCTTTATTATCTGTATGTGTGGCAGGGCACTCTCACCTCCAGCATTTGGTAAAGCCACTTAGGCTGGCCTCAGAGAGGCACACCAGATGAAGTGGGATGGGGAGAACACTAAAATAGAAGTAATCCTAGGCCTGTGTAAATGCAGAAAGAGAGAGAGGGACTAACATGAGGAAGCACACACACAATACATACAGAATGACAGAAGGAGGTAAGGATAGAGAGTATGTTCTGGTTAACACAGGGCCTAATACATGACCTTGATTTTAACCCCCTCATTTTATTACCAGAGTCACGTTCTTGGGCTGACGATGATAGAAAAGAGTCCAGACCTGAAGAACAAAGTCACAGGAAAAGCTCTATAGACACTACAACTCAAGCTGAACAGAACACCAGCACTAGCAAATAGCACTTAATGTACCCTCTGAGAGGAGAGAGAAGGTCCTGCGTATATAAAGTTCCCTCATCCTGATTGGTTGGAAGGACCTCATCGTGATTGGTGGAAGGACTTCATCCTGATTGGTTGGAAGGCAACTCAGGTAGCTCATTGGTGTTTTTGGAGGAGGAGTCCTCCATTTTAAGTCGAGCTTGCAGACAGGGTGCCTTCTGGCAGGTTCTGCTTTGGAAGAGAAGTGGTTAACAATATTATCCGACAAAAAGACCCCTGGTGCACAGTGGTTTGTTTTTGTTTTTGTTTTTGTTTTGTTTTGCGTAGGGCTTGTTCCCGTAGTCCCTGGCTCATTTCTGCACTATATCTCCTTTTTGGGGAGTGGGGTGGGGCCTCAGGGCCTGAGGGGTCCAGAAGAAGAAAGGAAGCAGAGAGGATCCTGGAGATTTTCTGCGAGACAGCTGGAGGAAATCCTGTGTACTCTGCATTCAACGTGATTCCCAAAGTGTAAGCACTGATTCATTTTTTTCACATGATTTTAGAGATGCAGTGCCAACATAAACTTAGGTTTATGGTGGTGAGGATGTACTTAGACAACAGAGTACATCAAAATCCTGAGCTTAGATGAAACGGCAAGTCAGAATGCGGGTGTTCAAAAGTAGGGGAGAGGCTGTGTGCCTAGGGAAGCAGCCATTTTAAACAGAGTCACACAGCTACACCCCATCTGCCTTATCGTGTTACCCCTTATGCCTAACACAATAGATCTGGTCAGCACCATCAGTGGACTGTTCACAATGCACCACAAATCCAACTCGTGAAACTCCTATTTTTAAAAAGTCTTTTACATCCAGCCATTTCCATATTCGGTTTTCCTAAAGTGAGGCACATGCATACACTCCGGAGCATTCGCCAGTAAATGAAGCTGAAGAAGCCTGCATTTTTTGTATTTTCTCGAGGAAAACTGATGACCTGAGAAATTGGTCAATGATTAATGGGCAGGTGCTCTGCCTGCTCCGTGGAAGGACTCCAACCCTATGGCGAGCAGACATTAAATCTGAGCTTTTGAATGCCAAACATCATCTCCCCACCAGCACTCTGTTTTAGTTAAGGAGATTCAACTAATTCTATAAATAATCACTGGGCACCAAAGAGGAGCCAGACCCTTGGCCAGGAACTGGAGTTAGGGAAATGTATTTCACAGTCTTTGCGACAGATGTATCCAGCTCAGTCTATTACAAGACAAAAATCTACCAGTGCAAGGGGAAGGGAATAAACAAAAGCTGCTAATGGGGGGGCTGGTGGGAGGCGTTGGGACACTTTCTAGCTTGGGTCACTTCCTTGAGCGCCCTGTGAGGGTGCTTGGAAATTACAGGGTTGTAATGAATTACTTTTCCTCCCTCCTCCTTCCTTCCATACTATAAACATGATTTTTTAATGTTTATTTATTTTGAGAGAGAGAAAGAGAAAGCAGGGGAGGGGCAGAGAGAGAGAGAGAATCCCAAGAAGGATCTGTGCTATCAATGCAGAGAGCTAGCTGGACACAGGGCTCGATCTCACAAACTCTGAGATCATGACCTCAATCAAAACCAAGAGTCAGACACTTAACTGACTAAGCCACCCAGGTGCTCCCATACTATAAACATAATGTAGGCAGGGAGTGAGTCTTGTGGTCACTATGTTTTACATATCTTTTCTAGTGCTTTGCTTTAATTATGTGCAATAAATATAAACGTGGATGAGCTAGTTCACTGTGCCTAGGGAAGGACCTAAAATAACACACACACACACACACACACACACACACACACACACACAAAAGCTGACCTAAGCACTGTTGGCAAAAGACAAACAATCAGGTACAAAGGCCCATTGGAGGCACTTAAGCAGATGGAAAAAGATGGATTCAACGAAAGTACAAGACAACTGTAAGTTATCAATGTGAGTTAATATTATCCACTCTTCCCCTTTTGGTGCTTGGCCAGCTAGTAGTAGTAAGAGCTCACTAACAATGTGTTATCAGAAATGACATTTTCCAGCAACTCTGCAGTTTGAAGCGTGCGTTCTGCCACATTGATCAGTGATAATCCCTACTTCTCTTCATCCCTGTCTCCTTCTCTTGAGGTTCGAAGTGAGTCTCAGTCATTTAAGTGAGATTTCCTAATGTCATCAGGTTATCCAAATAGAAGAATTTGCAAAAGCTGGAAAGGGAAAGTTTTAGCCCAATAATCATTGTTATTGTTTGTTTTTGTTGTTGTTGTTTTTATCTATAAAATCAAATAGTAAATCTGGCCAATTTTACCTCCAGAATAAAAGTCATTGTAAGACCAGCATCTACAGACCAGATTTTTTCAGTGTTGGCTAACTGACAAGGGTCTTCACTGACATAGTCTAAGAGGATATCTTTCCTCTTAGCAAATATTACAACCACCTTAAGCCCACGCCAGCCTGGATTATCCACAGCAATCCTTATGAAAAAATAGTCAAAGCAACTCCAAACAGAAAGGCAGGCTATGGTTAATCTCTTTCATTAGACTAGTATCCTAATTTTTTTGAGGCCAACATTTAACTCTTCCAAGTTGCATTTTTACAAAGCTATACAACCTGATAAAAAAAAATTCTTACTGACAAGACCAGGGCCTGGAATCTTTTGGGGGCAGCATTCAGCATGCTTTTGGTCTGCAATCCTGTCCCAAACTTGGGTAGACTCTCTAACACCCTGGGTCAGTGGGTTAGAATCTTGCAGTAACACCCTTACTTCCTCCCCCACACACCTTTACTCCAGTTCTGACCTTGACAGTGTTCAGTTCTTGTGGCCGACCATTCAGCACTCCCTTTTCCCAGCTGCCTTGAATTATTTATGCATTTGTATTCCTGACCAGAATGTAAGTTCTTTGGAGGGCAGAGACCATGTCTCATTCACCTTTATATTCTCTAATTGCCCTCTACACAGATATTTTGAAATATGATAAGCATTTGCTAAATAAATATTCAAAAAAGTAGGTCAAATCATTTACTGGGAGTGAGCATCAGATTCCCAATTATACAGCCAAGTGTTTATTGTCAACTATTTTGCCATTTGAAAATTATTCCTACTTTAAATTGGTGTTATAGTTTAAAAAACATTCAGAATAGAAACTAATCTGAGATCATATATGTATATATTCAAGGTGCCTTCAAAGAAAAAAATATTTTGAAAAGAATTGGTATTTGCAATCTGTACTAACAACATAACGTTAAATTACTATAAGCAAATTTAATTAGGTAGAAGTAAATCCCTAATTAGTTTAAAACTGTAACATGTTAAACAAGTTATAATATTTATATTGCCAGATAATACCATACTGAAGAAAAATTACCCATGTTAACCAGATAAAAGTACAGCATATTTTATTCAATTTCAGATATTCAAGATATTACAATTAAAATATACCTTGGCATTAAAGTAGCACAGGAATTGGAAACTCACACGCCTGCAGAGCATGTGAGGCTGGAGACCTCAGTGGGTCGGTGGAGGACAGAGAAGCAGGGCTTCCTTCTCTAAAGGGAAGAGCTGTTGGCAGCCCCATCTTATGGTTGGAGATAAGGGCTCAATATTGTCCTAAAAGATGAGAAGCTGCAACTCTTCACATTTGTGGGAAACATCTTGAGTTATCAATAGCTTCAGATTTGGAAGGAGAGCAGGGGTAGAAACCAAGTGTGGGTTAAAGAAAACCTACCTTGTAGGCCAGACTTCATTCTGTAGGTCGTCAATTCCTAGGTAAAACACCAGATCTTTAAGGTACCCTCTGACTCAGATTTTGATCCTGTTGCCTAGCACATCATTTAATTAACAAGAACTCTATTCTGCTAGATGCTTCCTATCTTACTCTTACTAAAATTGTCAAGTCATTATGTAAATAACACATTGTAAGCTTTTATTTAAAAAGAAAAAAAAAAAGATATTCCCAGAGAGCCACTGATAGACTTAACTATGGAAAAAACACCAAATCTCAAATACCTTCATGGAGTCACTCACAGATTTTCCTCTCAGCATTGTGTATCCTTTCTGTGCTAGGTCAATTCATTGCAAATGTGAAATGACATTTGAAAAGAAAAAAAAAAGCTGAAATGATATGCCTTATACTATTTAGAACTCACATTTTCTTTGGCTCTTTGTCAGAGATGTCACAACTATGGGAAGAATGTACCCGAAGAAGCCTTGTGGCTTTCACCCAAGAATCATTAATTTGTTGGGACTCATTTCCTTCTCCACACTTATACTGATAACGCTCTATCTAGAAGCAAATGTCAAAGAGCAGTTGATGTCTTAAAAATGCAGTTATAGTCTAAAGCCACATTAATATCTTGCCACTTTGGATAATTGTTACTGTTTAGTAGGCATATATGTAAAATAATAGCAAGTATTTTCCCTGATGTCTTGGAAAGTTCATATGCCAGAATCCAGGAAAGAAACTCTGAGGCTTGATCTGGGAGCATGAATTAGTTTGAGTGTTATGAATGATTTGACTAGTCGCGTTAGTTTGGAAAATAGCTAGATGTCAAAAATGTCTTCCCTCTTCCTTCAAATTATTCAAATCATGCTTCTTGACATCTCTCTTACAATACAGCAGCCTCTCATAGCATTCCTATGCTTCCCATACCTTCCACTGAATCAGTGTAACTCAGGAACTGTGTAATTCAGCATCCTTTCAGTCAGCCGTCTCTGGGTACCTACTGGCAGAAGGCTCTGCAGTGGGCACTTAGGAGAATGAGGTAGATACATTTGTCCTCCAGCATCTCAGAGCCTGGTGGGAGATCTCTGGAACGGAACACAAAACCCCTGACGACTTCACCCTTCATTCAAGATGCCTACCATGTGCCTGGCTGTGGTGGAAAAGACAGTGATGCCTTTGTCTTTAGAGGGTGTAAACTATCTCATAAAATTAAACCAATAATAAATTCCAGTGTACGTGAAACTAAACAATTCTCGGAATCCTTTTCAATTCTATAAAATAGGGCTATAAGGAAATGCCTCATCTGTTGTCAGAACCCCCCCTTGTTTTATGTTCTGTCAAACTGGGACTGCATGTCAGTCTCTGGACACAACCCACTGTTTCATGCCTTGGTTTCTTTCCATGTGTTAGTCTCTCTCCTTGGACTCCCATGATCTGCCACTTGTCTGCTTGGCAACTCTTAATTCGTCTTCTCAAAGCCATCCAGGTCAGCATCTCTTAGGCCCTACTTTACAATCTGTCAGCCCACCAGTCTCTCGTGTCAGTTGCTGCAGTCGTACCCTGCAGGCTTTGACCAGCTTCACACAGGTACAGTCTGATGGTGCCTTGCCTCTGCCCCCCCCTTGTGCCTCTCACTTCCAAGCTCAGTGTCCACACATGCAGAACCCACAAGTGCCACATATGAGGAACAAAGGCTGGGTGATCCTGAAACAACCCCTTGAGGGATCTTCTAAGGAAAAAAGAAAGGAGATGAGGAAGGGAGGGAAGAATGGAGGAAGAAGAAAAAAGGGAGGAAGAGAAAGAGGTATACACACAAGTAGCAGTAAGGCAAGATGCCATAAGAAAGATACCAACACAGGATGTATACTGAGCACTGAGAAAAGAAATCAAGGAGCAATAATATGAACCCACTGTGATAACAGATGTTAACCAAACACCACAGTAAAACAAAAGTGACAATCAGTAATTAGTAAGTGTTATTGACTGACTACAAATTCTAGTTCTAAAAGAAAAGCCATCATCCTTTTGTGAGTGCATCCAGTCTAGTGGGGGTTGGTTCAGAGAACAGGGAAGGCTAGAAATGATCAGTTTGGGGGATTTGCACAACATGGAGAAATTCCTATTTCTACCTCCTTGGGAGCTGTTTCAGAGATGGCATTGTGGTAGAAAGTGTGAGCCAGTGATGAGGCGTGGAGATGAGCAGAGGTCACTTGGGACTTTATCTCAAGTGATATCACAGTGCTGTAAAGCAGGGCAAAAATTTCATAATGGCCAGCAATTCAATATGAATTCAAATGCTTTTACTGTCTTGGTAAAAAAAAAAAATTGCTTTTCTTTGTATTTTTCAGATTTTGATTTTTTTTGTACATTAAAAAATAACTTGACTGTTTTAGCTCTGAGCATCTACAGTGAAAGAAAAAGCTGTGAATTGTTTAAGTAATAAATTTCCAACATATGGAGGAGCCTCTGGCAGTGATTCTCAAATATTATTGACACAATAAATGCCAACAAGCTTGTGAAAATGACGATTTCTGAGCCCTAGACTATTCCTTCTGAATCAGAATTCCTGGGGTTACGAGCCAGGAATCTGTATTATTAATATTTACTGCATGTTGTAATGGTACACTCTGAATCCTTGACATTTTGAAAACCATTGGCTTAAATCAACAAGCAAAATTAGTGTTCATCTAAAGTATACCTGTGTGTATATGTGTGCATGTATTCGTCTGCTAAAAGTAAACGTGTAAAGACCAACAGCTAATAACTTTTGCTATTCATCATAATTAGTCAAGGAATTACTTCTAGTTCCAAAGAAAACAAATAATCTGCTTTGACTCTGACATTAAAGAACAGCTATTCATTTTAAAATATTAGTCTAATCAGGGGCGCCTGGGTGGCCCAGTCGGTTAAGCGTCCGACTACAGCTCGGGTCATGACCTCACGGTTTGTAGGTTTGAGCCCCGTGTCAGGCTCTGTGCTGACAACTCAGAGCTTGGAGCCTGCTTGGGATTCTGTGTCTCCTTCTCTTTCTGCCCCTTCCCCACTTATGCTCTGTCTCTCTCTCAAAAATAAATAAATGTAAAAAAAAATTTTTAATAAAATAAAAAATAAAATAAAATATTAGTCTAAACACATGTGATGTAAATCTAAAAAAAACTTTAATTTTAAAATAAATATTGTGTTGCAAAAGAAAAAAGTCAAAGCAATAAAAACTCCCAAAAGTATTCGCCCCCCCGCAAATGATAAGCATAGAGTAAGTTGTTGTTTATTTTTACTCTGTAGTTTGCTGTTTTAACTGTGAAAGCTTTTGTATTGTGTTCTTTAAATGTTCCATAATTCTCCAGTCTGTGATGTCGCAAATCACAGACCCTATGAAGGGTCTCATATTACACGCATCTGTGAGAAGTCCGCACTTTAACACACATACTCTTCCCAGGGAAGCCCCCAGGGAGTGCATAGGTGTTCCCACTCCAAGAAGTTTATTGTCAGCCACTGCAGTCACCTGTCAGGTTCTTACTTTGGAGCATCTCTTCTTGCAGCCCTGTTGTTCAGGCCGTTGCTGGTCTAGTTCCACTTCAGCCAGACCACAAGAGCTGAGACCACACTGTAGCAATTAGGGACTTTACTAAAGTCTTGTCAATAATTGGAGGAAATTACATCACAGATAATTTATACATGGATATGCTGCTCTTAGAAAGAGACTACAGTTCTAAGACCCTCATCGCTGATCCCCTACTATGCAACTTCTTGTTTAGCTGCGTGTGATCTTGCTGTTTTTAAAGGTCAGCCAGGTTATTTAATTTCTGGGTGGCAGCTGTGATAAGAGGCAGCCTGCTTTCCCCAATGGGAGTCCCTGTAATCTTACTCCCTTCTCCAGAATCCTAGCCCCATCTCCTTGAATCCCAGAAAGAAAATAGTTTTCCCCCCTCCCTCAATCTAAATCCCATCTCCCAGTCATTCCTCCCTCCACTAGGATAACTGTCATTGGGAATGTAATTTCCCTGGAGAGGGAATCTCATCTTTAAACATACGTCCCATGCTCTTAGCCCTTTTGACCCCAAATACATCAGACCATAAGATATCTTGTAATTTCTGTAATTTTTATCAACATATGTCTCAAATACACGCATTCAGTCAGCATCAGTATAATTCTCAAGGTCTAGGTTATTTCATCTTGAATAACACCATCTGTCAGCCTTTAGTTCTTCAATTATGTTCAGCAACAATATACTTCCATTTCAAGACTACTCTCTAGTATGATGCTATGACCAGGCCAACAAAACCTTCTAAGCCTTTTGAGATTTTAACCTGATCTCCTATGAGCAACAATTTGAATAAT